GTATATGATATGAACAACTTTATTCCAATAAATTTGACAGCTTAGTTGAAATGGACACATTTCTTGAAAGACAGAAACTACCAAAGTTTTCTCAATGAGAAGTAGAAAACCTGAATGATCTTATATCTGTTTAAAAAAATAAAACTTGTTGTAAAAGTTTTTCCACAAAGAAAACTCCAGGCCCAGATGGAGCCTCTTTTATTACTGGTATTGGAAATTGATTTCTTCTCTCTCTCTTTTTTCCCCCCATGATTAGTCTGACCAGATTTGGGAATATTTGCGTTATACTTACCAATTTAGTATTTTTAATTCAGAAATCTAAAATCCAGAATGCTTCAATGGACATTTCATTTGTGCATCATGTCAGCACTCAAAATGTTAGGATTTTGGAGCATTTTGGATTTCAGATTGTCAGAATAGGGATATTCAGCCTGTAATTATCTCAAGAGACACAGAAAAGTATTTGCCAAATCCAACACCCATTCGTGATAAAAACAGAAACAAACTAGGAGTTGAAAGGAATTTCTTCAGTCTGATAAGGGCTACCTACCAAAAACTTACAGCTGACATTATACTGAATGGTAAGAAACTGAATGCTTTTCTCCTAAGATCCGGGAAAAGACAAGGATGTTCCTTGTCATTTTTATTCACTGTTGTAGGGGAGGTTTTAAAGGTGCAGTAAGGCAAGATAAAGGCATCTGGATTAGAAAGGAAGAAATAAACTTGTCTTTATTCTCAGACAACATGATCATCTATATAGAAAAGCCAAAAAACTCTACAAAAGAAGCTTCTAGACCTAGTAAGTGAGTTTAGCAAGACTGCAGGATAGAAGACCAATATGTATAAATCAATTGTATTTCTTTATACTAGCAAAAAAAAAATTGGAAATTGAGATTAAAAAGCAATTCCATTTACCATAGCATTAAAAAATATGAAGCAGTGATAAATCTAACAAAAAATATGTAAGATCTGTACACAGAAAACTATAAGACATTAATGAGAGAAATTAAAGAAGATCTACATAAACTGAGATTATATTCCATGTACGTAGGTTTTTAAGATGTCAGTTCTCCCCAATAGAGAGTCTCAATCAGAATCCCAGAAGCTTTTTTTTAAAAGTAGAAATTGACTGACTTACTCTAAAATTTATATAAGTAAATGCAAAAGATTAGCCAAAACAACTTGGAAAAAGATGAGCAAAGTTGGAGGACTAATACTGTCTGATTTTAAGACTTGTACAGCCACAGTAATCAAGACATTATGATATTGTGAAATCCTTATGACCTTATGCAAAGATTTCTTAGATGCAATACCAAAAATATCAATCTACAACAGAATAAATGGATAAGTTGGCCTTCATCAAAATTTGTAAAACTTCTGTTTGTTTCAAAAGTGACCTTTGAAAGATACTGTTAAAAGAATAAGAAAACAAACCACAGACCGGGGAAAATATTTGCAAATCATAAAGGACTTATATCTAGAACATGTAAAAGAACTCTTAAAATTAAAAAATCAGAAAGTAACACAATAAAGAAAAAGGTAAAAGATTTGAACAGACGCTTCCAAGAGGATGTACAAATGGCAGATAAGCAGATGGGAAGATGCTCAATGTTGTTAGTTATTAGGGAAATGCAAATTTAAAGTACTGACATTAAAAACAATGCAGTACCAGGATACACCTTTTAAAAAAATTGAGCATATCAACTGGTGAAATTGTGGAGGAATTAGAACTCTCAGACACTGCTAGTGGGAATGTAAAATGGTACAATCATTTTGGAAAACAGTTTGGCAGTTTCTTCAAAAACTAAATTTGTGAGCTAGCGATTTCATCTCTATGTATTTGTCCAGAAGAAACTAAACTGGATGTCCACACAAAGCCCTGTAAGTGAATGTTCATAGCAGCTTCATTTGAAATAGACCCCAAACTAGAAACTACCTGTTCATCAACAAGTGAGCAGATAAACTGTGGCATATCCATCTGATAGAATACTATTCAGCAACAAAACTGAACAAGCTATTATTATTATTTTTTTTGAGTTGGAGTCTCACTCTGTCGCCCAGACTGGAGTGCAGTGGCCGCTCCCAGCCACCGTAGCCTTGACCTGCTGGGCTCCAGTGATCCTTCTGCCTCAGCCTTCCAAGTAGCTGAAACTACAGGTGCGCGCTACCACACCGGCTATGAACAAGCTTTCGATATACAGTGCAATATGAATGAATTTTTAAATAATTATGTTGGGTGAAAGAAGCCAAACAAGAAAGAATACATACTGTATTCCATGTGTGTAAAATTCTAAGAGATGCAGATTCAGCTATAGTGATCGAAAACGGATCAGGGTGACTGGGGATGGATGAGCCAGGAGGCAGGTGAGGGTGGTGGCCATAGTATCTTGATGGTAGTGAGACTTTCACAGGTATGCACATACAGATGGTGCCCCCCAAAATTATACACATTTTAAGAAAGGAAAAACTATTACAATTGTAATGCTCAATATATACCTATAACAAAAGATCAATATAAATCATGTTTGACTTCTGCAATTACAAGAGGTGCTCAAAGTGGTTACCATCAGCATCCAGAAACTCCTGATTATGACAAACTAAAAGTAATACATAGGCTGGGTGTGGTGGCTCATGCCTGTAATCCTAGCACTTTGGGAGGTGGAGGTGAGAGGATTGTCTGAGCCCAGGGGTTTGAGACCAGCCTGGGCAACTTGGCAAGACCAGGTGTCTACAATAAATCAAAAAATTAGCCAGGCCTGGTGACATGCATCTGTAGTTTCAACTACTTGGAAGGCTGAGGAAGAAGGCTCGCCTGAGCCCAGCAGGTCCAGGCTGTGGTGGCCATGAGCATGCCACTGCACTCCAGCCTGTGTGACAGTGATACTCTGACTCAAAAAAAAAAAAAAAAGAGTAATATAGATAACATCTCTTAAAATGTGTATACTTTTTTTTTTTTTGAGTTGGAGTCTCACTCTGTCACCCAGCCTGGAGTGCAGTGGCACACTTCTGGCCACCCCAGCATCGACCTACTGGACTCTAGTGATCCTTCCGCCTTAACCTTCCAAGTAGCTGGATCTACAGGTGCGCACTACCATGCCCAGCTAATTTTTTATTTTATTGTAGAGATGAGGTCTCGCCAAGTTGCCCAGGCTGATATGGAACCCACAGGCTCAGGCAGTCCATTCGCTTCGGCCGCCCAAAGTTCTGGGATTACAGGCTGAGCCACTGAGCCCAGCCAAAATGTGTATACCTTTTTTGGCACCCCTAATAAATCAAAGCATATCAATTGTACACTTTTTTTTGAGTTGGGGTCTCACTTTGTCACCTAGGCTGGAGTGCAGTGGCACGATCATGGCTCACCATAGCCTGAAGCTCCTAGGTTCAGGTGATCCTTCTGCTGCAGCCTCCTGAGTTATTGTGTGTCAGTTATACCTCAGTGAAGCTGTTTTTTAAAATGGGTGGGGGTTGGGCTCGGTGACTCAGCCTGTAATCTCAGCACTTTGGGAGGTCAAGGCGAGTGGATTGCCTGAGCCTGTGGGTTCGAGACCAGCCCGGGCAACTTGATGAGACCTTGTCTCTACAATAAATCAAAAATTAGCTGGGCATGGTAGCATGCGCCTGTAGTTCCGGCTACTTGGAAGGCTGAGGTGGGAGGATTGCCGGAGCCCAGCAGGTCGAGGCTGTGGTGGCCGGGAGAGTGCCACTGCACTCCAGTCTGAGCAACACCGTGAGACTCCAACTCCAAAAAATAATAATATAATAATAAAACGGGTGGGGAAGCGCTTTGCCCATGGCGGACTTGGTTGCTGCTCTGCTCAGAAAGCCCTTTAGTGATCCAGCAGCCTGCAAGTCCTGCCAGTCTTCTGCCCTGTCCTGCCTGTCATGAGCCATGCACATTTGCTTCCTGCCAATTGTGGAAGTCTCACTCTCCAAACATTTGATTATTTATCTTCCTGCACGTGGATTTATTTTATGATATGGATTATGGGGGAACAGATTTTCATCCTAGAAAGTTACTTCTTCCCAATGAATTCATAAATTAATAGTCATTTGTTTCTTGGTGGTGGTGTTTACCCTATGTATCTATTAGACTCTGGACTGTTATGACAAACCCAGCTCAGAGTTTGGAAGTTAAAGGGTTTCAGACCCAACTGGATTGCAGAGGTACAACTGTATTATCTCTTAGTGTTGTTTTGTTCTCTGACTTCCCTCTCTAGCAGGCTTGCCCCACATGGTGACAGAGGCAGCTGCCACAGGGAGAGAGTCCCTCCTTCCTGACCCGCCCAGGAACAGTTCCAAGTTCAGCCCTCACTGGCCAGGCGTGGGTCAGCACCCAGGCCTCAGCCAGTCCCTGTGCCCGAGACCAGGGGCTCTTATGGCCAGGCCTGGTCACCTGCCCGGGAGCCAGGGTTTGACAGAGCCAAGCGAAATGGTCGGAGGGCGGGGACAGCACGTACAGCAAGGGCATCTCGGGCCGTGTCGCTGAGAGAGGCAGGCGTGGGCGTCAGCAGGGAAGAGCGGCAGATGGCCCCACACCAGGGCCAGTCCAGCTGCTTTTGATTTTTAACTAAGTACAATAGTAACATGCTTCCAAAAGTCAAAGTGTGCAGAAAGGGTACTTCTGCCCTGTTCCTCACACCCCTTACAGGTCAACCAGTTTCACTGAGTTCTCATTTTTCCTTCGTGTTTCTTTTTGTAAGATAAGTAGATATATGTATGTTTTCTTGTTTCCTCCCCCCAATTTTTTTTTTTTTTACAAAGATAGCATACTATATGTGCTCTTTTGTTCTTACTTTTTTCACTTATCGAGAGCAAAGAGAATCTGTAATCAACCACACTGTGTCTTGTCATCATTAGTACACAGGATCGAGGCTGACTTGAACATCACGGGGTATACATATGAGTGTCTGGAGTGACAGCCAGTCTTGTCTTCTGTTGAATGGCATTTGTAGTCTCTTAAGCATGGGTTGAAAGTGAATCCCTCTCCTCTTTCAACACAGATGGGGGCAGCTGTGCCATCCACGACTCCCAGGCCCCCAGTCTGAGCTCTGGGGGCCAGAGTTCTCCCTCCAGCCCCACCGGACACAACTGGGAGATGAATTATCAAGAGGCAGCGATCTACCTCCAGGTGAGTGTCTTCCAGTCAGCACCTGGCCATCCTCCGCACCTGTTGCTGGGCTGGGATAGCCAGGGCTCTGTTAGGGGCTCAGCAATGAAGTTCTGGCTTAGGTTCCTGCTGCCACTGGTGTGTGAGCTTCTCGTTTCTAAGACTGGGAGAGGGTGGGTGCAGTGTTGTGTGCCTGTAATCCCAGCACTTTGGGAAGCTGAGGCAGAAGGCCAGTTTTAGACCAGCTGAGGTGAGACAAAGAATAGAGTTGGCCAGTGTGGTGGTATGTACCTGTAGTTCCAGCTACTCAGGAGGCTAAGGCAGAAGTCTCACTTGAGCCTGGGAAGCTAAGGCTGTAGTGAGCTATGATCATGCTACTGTACTCTTGCCTGGGCAACAGAACGAGATGTGTCTCTAAAAAAGAGGAATGGAGGGAGGAATTGAGGGAGGGAGGGAGAGAAATAGGAGTTGGAGACCTAAGACAGGGAGAACTAAACTGATCGTGCTCCTAGGGGAAGAGCGCCATGTGCTGACCTGTCCTCTGACGCCATTTGGGGCTGTGCCTGTCCCTGTGGTTCCGAGTCTGTCTGCCTGGCCTTCCCTGCCCCCTCCCTCTTCTCAGGGTCACTGAGAGGCCAAGTTCTCGGGAGGACATTCTTCTTTATATACTTAAAGCTGTAGCAGGGGCTTGGCCGCCTAGTGTGGGGAACTTGGAGGTCTTTCTTGTCCAACTTGCTGCAAATTTCAAGTTTACTATTTCATGCTTGTTCTTTTTCTTTTGAGAAAAATAATACTTTTTTGGTAAAAGTAATGCATACTCATTATAATAAATTTAGGTACAAAGAAGAGATGAAAAAACACTCGCCCAGAACAGTCACTGTCAATGTTATTTCCTTCTAGGTTAAAAAGTATATATATTTGCGGAATAATCAATCTGTTTTCTAAAAGCAGTTATATAGTGTGCTTTTTTTCATAGCACGTAGCATAAGCTTTTCTTCTCATGTTCTTATAACCCTTTTGTAAACATAATTTAAATGACTTTTAATTATATCAGGTAAAGTTTCTAATTTACTTAACTATCTCGATTATCTTGGATATTTTTCATTATTATAAATTACAGTACAAAGACAGTCTGTGTATAGATCTTTCTCTTTAATAGCTAGGATTATTTGACTAGGGAAGACTCTAAGAAATGGAATTACCAAATGGAAGGAATCAGAATTTTTTAGGAACCGTCATATCCAGTATGAAATCTTCTCCAAAGGAGATACTGCCTCTCTACTGCCAGCCTCACTGACTGTGGCATTTTAACCTTAATTGTGCCATTTTTGTTGCTATAAGATTTCCATTTTTGGTGTGCATTGAGTAAGGGTTTAGATGAGAAAATAGATTTTTTCTTAAATTTATTTGAATGATAAATTTCCCTAATCATATTTCTTTGAAGCAGCTCTCCACTGCAAGTATTTATCATTTAAAAAAAAAAAAAAAGTCTGGACTCGGTGGCTCAGCCTGTAATCCCAGCACTTTGGGAGGCCGAGGCAAGTGGATTACCTGAGCCCGCAGGCACCTTAGCGAGACCTGTCTCTGTAATAAACCAAAAAATTAGCCAGGCTTGATGGCGTGTGCCTGTGCTTCCAGCTACTTGGAAGGCTAAGACGGAAAAGTCACATGAGCCCAGCAGGTCAAGGCTACAGTAGCCTGAGTGTGCTACTGCACTCCAGCCTTGGTGGCAGAATGAGAGAGATTCTATGAAATTTAGACATGGCCGGGCTCGGTGGCTCAGCCTGTAATCCCGCACCTTGGGAGGCTGAGGTGAGTGAATTGCCTGAGCCCGTGGGTTCGAGACCCGCCTGGGCAACTTGGTGAGACCTCATCTCTACAATAAATCAAAAAAATTAGCCGGTTGTGGTAGCACGTGCCTGTAGTTCCAGCTACTTGGAAGGCTGAGGCGGAAGGATCGCCCGAGCCCAGCAGGTTGAGGCTGTGGTGGCCGGGAGCGGCCACTGCACTCCAGTCTGGGCAACAGAGTGAGACTCCAACTCAAAAAAAAAAAAAAAAACACATTTAGACATGTATTTGACAGTTGTCTTTATGTTTCTCCTGCTGTATCACATATACCTGTACTCCTAGACAAGCAAGTAAAGCATGTTAAGAAATGTTTAGGGATATTTTAGCAAGCTCAGGCACACCCACAAATGACCTAGCAGGGGCATCTTCTCAGAGACCGAGTAAGAGCATGGGAGCCGGGCTCAGTGGCCCAGCCTGTAATCCCGTGCCTTTGGGAGGCTGAGGTGAGTGGATTGCCTGAGCCCGCGGGTTCGAGACCCGCCTGGGCAGCGAGACCTCATCTCTACAATAAATCAAAAAATCAGCTGAACGTGGTAGCGCATGCCTGTAATTCTGGTTACTTGGAAGGCTGAGGTGGAAGGATCGCCAGAGCCCAGCAGGTCGAGGCTGCAGTGGCTGGGAGCGGCCACTGCACTCCAGTCTGGGCAACAGAGTGAGACTCCAACTCAAAAAAAAAAGAGCATGGGATAGGTCAGAATACACAGAGTGCCTGGAGACTGCCACAGCCTGATTGTTCCTTCCTGTCCTAAGCAGGTGAGGGCATTGGTCATAAAAATATGGGACTTTAAGAGAGCACCTGCCCATCTTTGTAACAATCCTCCGAGGCGGATATGATCATCTCCCACTTTACAGATGTGGCAGCTGAGACTGAGGGTCCCATGATGTCCAAGGCCACCCAACTAGTGAGTTGCAGAGCTTGGACCTAAACTGTCCATCTCACCTCCAAGTGATGTTCCTTCTTCTTTGTGTTGTTGTGTCCTTTCTGTGGATCATGTGTATCCACTTGAAAATGGGCCAGGTCTTTACAAAAAAGGCAGTTACGGAGCAGCAGGTGTAGTGTAACCATTTTTGTGTAAAAAGTATGTTCAGATTCTTGTACAACTGGAAAGCTGTTTACCTGAACACTGAAGGTGATTGTTTCTGGTTAATGGAATTTTTACTGCCTTATAATTCTGTTTATTAATTGAATTATTTTAAATTAATTAATTATTAATTATTTTATTTTAAAAATGCATCTTTTTTTTTTGAGTTGGAGTCTCACTCAGTCGCCCAGACTGGAGTGCAGTGGCCGCTTCTGGCCACCGCAGCCTCGCCTGCTGGGCTCCAGCGATCCTTCCACCTCAGCCTTCTGAGTAGCCGGAATTACAGTCATGTGCTACCACGCCCGGCTGATTTTTTTTGATTTATTGTAGAGATGAGATCTCGCTGCCCAGGCGGGTCTCAAACCCACGGACTCAGGCAATCCACTCACCTCAGCTTCCCAAAGGTGCGGGATTACAGACTGAGCCACCGAGCCCGGCTTCATTTTTTAAAAATTAAAAATAAAAACTCAGATCCCAGTGAGCAGCCTTTCACAGATGTTTCTGGAAGATGGGTTAGCTGGTGTCAAGGAGGGTTTTTTTCTGTGCTTGCAGCTGAGCTGTGAGACCCACAGTGAAGCAGGTTGTTGGTGTGCTGGGTGATCGGCCCTCACTGCTTTGAGGGGAACCAGTACCTGCGGTATCCTCTCCACCTACACTGTACCTGTTAATGTATGCCCCCTTGGGAGCTGTGTGCTCAGTGGTCCTGGTGCCTTTGAATCCGTCCTCCTTTCTGTGTGGACTTCAGTCCCTCTGAGCAGAGAGTGAAGACCTAGAAGTTGCCGTGACCAGCCTTCTGTATTTTTCCTAGTCTTGTTTATGATCAGCAGTCAGGAAACCAGGCCTGCGACCTCCTTTGGGGTTTGGATCAGTGACATGGGTCGTGTTTCCCTCTATCTTTGTTGGTAGAAAGCTCATCCCCCTGTCTCCTCTGAAGCAATTCCAAGTCTCAGAGCTAAAATCTGAGCCCTGCACCCACATGTCAGTGGTTTCTTCTAGCCAGACCTTCATTCCTGGCTATTTGTTGGAAGAAATTGCCTAAGAATTGCATTTTCTAGTAATTCAAACCAGAGGCTTCCCAGGCCACTGTGTATGTCCCCGTCCCACTCACCCCTCTGTAGCCATGGAGGTGGTGGTGGAAACCACACCCCTGCACAGACACTGAGTCGTGCCCAACTTGCCCTCTGTTTGCCGCGATGTCTGTTCTCTTTGTCGGACCTGCCCTGTCGGCTCTGCCACCAGGTCTGTGGTTTGTCTTGGTTTTGTGCTAATGAGGGTAGCTTCAGGGAAGTGACTCGCTCAAAGGTATTTTGCAAACCACAGGAAAGGCCTTCCTGGAATAAGGGTCGGTGAGGATGGCGAGGGTGGCTCATCCCAGCATAACTGGAGGTGTGACTGCATTCCACGAGTAAGGATGGGGAAAGTGGCCTGTCCCAGCCAAACTGAAGATATGACTGCATCCCAAGAGTGAGGATGGTGAGGGTGACCCATCGTAGCTACACTGAGGGTGTGACTCCATCCTGGGAGTGAAGATGGCAAGGGTGGTCCGTCCCAGCGACACTGAAGGTGTGACTGCGTCCCAGGAGTAAGGATGACCAGGGTGGCCCATCCCAGTGACACTGAAGGACTGACTGCATCCTGAGACTTCCGAGACAGCTGGATGCCTTCAGAAGGGCTCTGGATGAGGGCATCCAGGCTCACATTCTAGCCCGTCGACCATCCCCCTGAGGAAATGGAGCCAGTGGGGCCATCTCTGCCGGAGTAGCTCAGGGTAAACAAGGCAGTGTGCCTTAGCCTCAGCCTCAGCGCTGCTGACATTTGGGGCTGGGTTGCACTCTCTTTTGGTGCTGTCCTGTGCACGCAGGATGTTGGGCAGCGTCTCCGGAATCTACCCACCCACCGTTCTGACAATCAGAAATGTCTCTAGACATTGCTGAAGGTCCGAGGGGGGGGGTGTCTTGCAAAATCATCCTGGGTTGAGAAGCCCTGGAGCAAGGTGGCGCCTGCGAGGCATTAGCCAAGTAAGTGCTCACTAAGTTACCGAGTGCCGACTGTGGGTGACCACAACCAAACTGAGACATTGGGAGGCCCCTTGCTTGTCCTTGTGCCCACCGACTCCAGGGAGACAGTGAAGACCTCCCCTCGAAGGCTGAGCCTAACAGGGAGGGCCAGCAATGGCCTTGGGGTGTCACGGACATGTGTTTTCAAGGGACTGTTCCTAAGCTGTGTCATTTACTTACGTCATTTTCAGCAGGGGCAGGATAGTCACTTAGAACAAGGCTGCTGGGATCAGACTGTCTGGCTCTGTGACTTCTGGCTGCCTCAGTAGCTCCCCTGCCAGGTGTTCTCATCTCTCTGTTGATGGGGCCAATACAAGTGCTGCCTGAACGGGATGTTGTCAGGGGCAAATGAGTGTACTAAAGGCACAGGTGAAAGGCAGGGCATCCTGCCTGGTACTTGTGAGCACTCGGTCTAGGTCGGCTGCTGTCTGTTTGCCATTGGGGTGAAGGACTCCAGGGCAAGGCCTGTCACTTTGCAGGGCTTAGGAAATGATAGAGAAATGGCAGCATAACTTAAGAAGTGAGATGTAGGAGGAGCTGTCACCCACATCTGTTAGGGTAGCTGGCTGTCCCCCCAAAAATGAAGAGTCAGTGTTGGAGAGGACATGGAGAAAGAGAGCCTGTGACTGCTGGGAGGCCAGTCGGTCGCGCCGTGATGGAAAACGGTACAGATGCCCCTCAGACCATCAAGGGTGGAACTGTCACACAATCCCGCAGTCCCACTGCTGATGTAGACAGAGGAAATGATATCCGTGTGTCGAGGAACGGCTGCACCCCTGCTCCCCACAGCACTGCCGCAGCTGCCAGGACTCAGTCAACCAATGTGCCCATTCACGGATGAATGTATAAGGAAACGTGGTACATACACTCCATGGAATACTATTCAGCCTGTAAGAAGGACTCCAGACACAGAGGGAAACACTACATGACCTCACTTATATGCAGACTCTAACATGGAAGCAGGGAGGAGTGGTGGTTCCCAGGGACTGGGGACAAAGTAAGGAATGGGGAGATATTGGCCAAAGGATAAAGTTCCAGTTAGATAGGAGGAGTAAGTTTTTGAGATCTGTTGCACAGCATGGTGACCATAGTTAATAATGTAAGGCAGCATTCAGAAAAGATAGGTATGTAAGGCGATGGGTATGTTAATTGACTTGACTTAATCATCCCATAGTATATAAATGTATCAAAATATCACATGCACCTCATAAATATATGCAACTAGTTGTCAATTTAGAAACAGAAGTAGCATGTAGGGGTCCTGAATTAAGTCCAAGTACAGTAGCGATACCACACTGGCAGCTCTTGGGGGATTCTAAAGGGTCTATCTACCTGGGCAGGGTTAGTGGCTTTTTTCTGTCAATGCTGCTACAGCTTGTGATAACAATAGCTGGCATCTGTGTGAGCTCATCATGTGAGATGCATCCCAAGTGCCTTGCAGATGTCCTCACAGTTCCTTCTTGCAGTAGCCCCATGAGGAAGCTCTGGGTCTTTTTCCTCCCCCCGCCCCCACAGAGGTGAAGAAATCTTCTCAATGTTCCACACAGAGGGAGTGAGGAGGCCAGGGCTCAGCTCGTGTTGGTTCAGCCCCGGCTCTGAGTGCTTTACACTCGCTGTATACTCTGGAGTAAGAATTTGGCTTCTGGGGGATCGGACTTGCCTGTTTCTCTTTACCTTCTCTCAAGACCTTTGGGTTTTTTTTTGTTTTTTTTTTTGAGTCAGTCTCACTCTGTCACCCAGGCTGGAGTGCAGTGGCATGCTCACAGCTACCCCGCGTCAACCTGCTGCGCTCAGGTGATCCTTCCGCCTCAGCCTTCCAAGTAGCCAGAACTATATGCACGCGCTACCATGCCCGGCTAATTTTTGGATACATTGTAGAGGCGAGGTCTCACCAAGTTGCCCAGGCTGGTCTTGAACCCCTAAGTTCAGGCAGTCTCGCCTCGGCCTCTCAAAATGCTGGAATTACAGGCTTGAGCCACCACGCCTGGTTGACCTTTGGTTTTTTTAAGAGACAGGGTCTTACTATGTTGCCCAGGCTGTACTCGAACTCCTGGGCTCTAGTGATCCTTCTGCTTTGGCCTCCTGATTTGCTGGGACCACAGGCACATGCCACCATGCCTGGTTTACTTTCTTATTTTTTTGTAGAGGCGGGGTTTCACTGTGTTGCCCAGGCTAGGCTCAAGTGATTCTCCTGCCTCGGCCTTTTGAGTAGCTGGGACTACAGGCTAATAATAACAATTTTTTACTATTTGTAGAGACAGGGCAAGTGATCCTCCCACCTCAGCCTCCTGAGGCCCAGTTCTTTCAGGTCGTTTTTGTTCTTTGGTTCCTCCAAGTGGTTCTGAAGAAGCAGCAGGTCTCTTGAGTCCCATCAGCAGTCACGAGTGGGACTTGAGCAGTGTGCCATGTCGAGAACATCATGTCGATCTTCCGTTGTCTTCTGCCCCGGCCTGAACCCTCCCTTGCCGGCTCCTCATTTTGCTCCCTCCCACGGCACCTCTCTGTTGTTGGACAGTGTCCAGGCTCACATGCCCATGCTGCTTTTGTCTTTTCAGGAAGGCGAGAACAACGACAAGTTCTTCACCCACCCCAAGGATGGCAGGGCGCTGGCAGCCTACCTCTTTGCACACAACCACCTCTTCTACCTGATGGAGCTGGCCACGGCCCTGCTGCTGCTGCTGCTCTCCCTGTGCGAGGCCCCCGCCGTCCCTGCACTCCGGCTCGGCATTTATGTGAGTGCCCGCGGGGCTGGGAGCCATGGCTCTTGGGGCGAGCCTCAGATCCGAGGAGGAATACTTAGGAAGGGCAGACACTGCAGACAGACCTAAGGCAGAGACATGAGGGTGCTGTAGAGGCCTTGGGAGCAGAAGTGGCCCAACAGTCTCACCTGGCTGTCCTTCACCCCATCTCTCTGGGATTCTGTCCACTAGGAACGCCATGGAGGGCGCTGTCCCCTGACCTCTCTCATGACCGGTGCCCACACCTTGGCTACGCAGGGCAGGGTACTGATGGACCATGCCATTGTGCTATCTCAGCCTCAGAGGAGAGGCAGTCGTGTGTGGTTGCCTTGGGAGGCAGGGGATGTATCCCGTGCAGCCCTGGCCTACACACGTCCTCACACCCAGGCCCAGCCATCATTCAGCATGGCAGGAGCAGCATGTGGAGGCATTTTTGTCCCCTTCTCGGGGGGGATGTGGAAGGCATGGGAGCAGCGAGGGAGGCCTTTGCCTGTCGAGTTAGGAAAGCTCCACCTTGGGCTCTGAGGCCCTCTGTAATTCAGCTTCCCTTCCTGCTTCTCCCTCTTCTCACCTGACGCTCATAACTCCAGCGGTTCCACGGTGGTCTGCAGTCCTTCCTCCCTGCCTCTCGCATGCCATTCTCCTCCTGGAGTCCCTTTTCTTTTCCTTTACCCTTCAGCTCCTGCTGCTCTGCTCAGGCTCGCTGGAATGTCACTGGCCCAGGACCCCCTATCCTCGTAAGAGGAGGTTCCCATGCCTGCTTCCTGGCAGCAGTGGCTTCCCTGTTAGGCAGTGAAGGAGGGCAGGGGCTGCCTGGCTTCCGAAGTTCTTTCAGCATCTTTATCTGGCCACCATGCAGTCACACCCTGTTTGTCAAGGACCAAGGAAGACAGTCCCAGGAGAAGCACAGGCAGCCCAAGGAGAGGGAGGCTTGTTTGAGGGTCTTCCATGGTCCAAGGAGAGGGAGGCTTGTTTGAGGGTCTTCCATGTGTTCTTGTTCTTTGTCCAAAATGAGGTTGAGGATCTCAGGGGCCTCTGTCTGCTCGGCAGCCCTTGTCTCTCAGGCTGTTGAATTTTCAACTAAATTCTGCTTTGTTCCCTTCATCTTTGTTTCTTAAGCCCCTAATTCATGCTTCCTTAGTGTCTGTTATGGATCCTTTGTAAATTACATGAAATTCCTCCTGGAACAAAGCTGGATATAAAATCATATCTTTTTTTTCTTACTTTTAAACTTCAAATAAATAAATAAATAAAAATGGCCGGACACGGTGGCTCACACCTGTAATCCCATCACTTTGGGAGGCCAAGGTAAGAGGATTGCCTGAGCCCATGGGTTCGAGATCAGCCTGGGCAACTTGGTGAGACCTCATTTCTACAGTAAATCAAAAAATTAGCCGGGCTTGGTGGTGCATGCCTGTAATTCCAGCTACTTGGAAGGCTGAGGTGGAAGGGTCGCCTGAGCCCAGCAGGTCGAGGCTGCGGTGGCGTTGAGCAGTATGCCACTGCACTCCAGCCTGGGTGATATAGTGAGACTCCAACTCAAAAAAAAAAAATCAAGCTTCAAGTCCTTCCTGAGTTTCATTGTTTGGATCAGCATGTCTGTTTCCTGAATGTCGAGTGTGTGTTTATTTGTTCTAGGAAAAGCTTCATTACCAAGGCTCTGTCTTGGAGTATCTAGGGCCAGGTCTTGTCACCTGGCATGTACTGGGTGGACATCCCAGGGTGGCTCTCCAGGTCCTGGGAGGGGTGGCAGAGAGAGAGTGGCCGTGGCTGGGTTGTGACAACTCATCTCAGCCCCTCTGGTCACAGGTTCACGCCACCCTGGAGCTGTTCGCCCTGATGGTAGTGGTATTTGAACTCTGCATGAAGCTGCGCTGGCTGGGCCTCCACACCTTCATCCGGCACAAACGGACCATGGTCAAGGTGATGTGTCTGTCTACCCATCCATTTCCTTACAGCATTTTCTCCCATGACACCTTCAAACCTGTATCTTGGGCACAATTCAGACTCCCCCACTGACCCGGTCCACATGCAGGAGCGTAACTCAGGGTCCCTGCCCTCACCATGCCTCTGGGTGTCTTGGCTGCTGCCAGTAGCAGCTGTGACTCAGTGTCTAGTGCATGCCAGGCCCCAGCACAGCCACCTCTGAGGGAGTGTGTTGCTCGCACTGTTTCTCACTTAGCTGGACAGAAGAGGCTGGGCTCTCAATCCCAGAGAGGTGGGCTCAAACCAAGCTCTGTGTGACCTCTGTGCCCATGCTGATCTGTCCCTGGTGTTCTGCGCCATCTCTCTGTGCGACAGACAGTGGTATGAGTGGGAGTGTGTCAGGGTGGCACTTTGTCATGTGAGGAGCAGGTACCCTGATCTGGGAGAATGTATCCAATAGCAGAGACACAGATGAACCACAGACGGGAACTCTTGGTGCCACTGGGGAGAGTGTGAGGGAAGGGTGGGGGAGCAGAACCAGCAGTGTGGCAGCTGAGTTGCTCAGAGCGTCCCCCCGACTCATCTTCCCGGAGCCACACACCTGTGCCTACAGCTGGAGAGCTGTTCTCCTGGGGCCGCCTGACGTCAGGGGCGGCGTGAGCGAGAGGAGAGAGGGAAGAGGGCCGGGCTCGGGCTGACGGGCTCTGTGCCTGCCATCCGCAGACCTTGGTGCTGGTGGTGCAGTTCGTTGAGGCCATCGTGGTGTTGGTACGGCAGACGTCCCATGTGCGAGTCACCCGGGCACTGCGCTGCATTTTCCTGGTGGACTGTCGGTACTGCGGTGGCGTCCGGCGGTAAGGCCGTGGGCGAGCTGGGCAGACAGTTGCTGTCATGCATGGCCGGATCTCAGGGTGGTGAGTGGGAGCCCGGGGTCCGTTAATGACGGGGTGGATCCTGCATTGGCACAGATACACACGCACACTGTCCTTCTGCCATTCGACCCAGGGGAAGGTGGTCTCCTGCTGCAGTGCAGGTTTTCTGACTCTGGGTCCAGGCTCTTTTCCATCTTGCCTGCAGCCTCCTGCGGCTGGCTCCTTTCTCTGAGCGAGTTATCTGCCCAAACACAGCAGCTCTGCAAAGTCCAGGGGAGTCACGCAGGCTCTCCAGCACCTCCACCGAGGCTGTAGGACTGAACTCAAGCCAGACCAAGCCGAGGCATAAAGTTGTCTCTGGAGACTCCATCTGGAAGATCTCTCGGCTGGGCTTCTGTTGATGAGTGTGGGCTCCCAATGCATTCTCTATTCATCCTCAAAGCTGGAAACGCACGTCTCAGGCCTAGGTGGCCCTGGTATCTCCATGCATCCCACATCCTGATCCTGGAAACTGACCTTTGTGCCCGGGGCCGTGCACGTGGCCTTGTGCTGCTCCTTTCCCCACTTGCCTACGTGGGCTCTCACCAGGGGGCGGTGGCTGTGTGTGCTACACCGCCCTGGTTCTCCCTGTCATCCGCTGAGTGGGGGCCTCAAGCTGCTTTAGGAAAATCTGAGCACATCACGCTAGGGTGCAAGGGGACTTGGTATTCCCGGTCAGGGGCGGCAGGCCCCGTCTTGAGAGGCGCACCCCACAGAGGAGCCCCACGCCCCCTGGCTGGCGCCTCCCCACCGGCCCGTCTCTCTCCCCAGCAACCTGCGGCAGATCTTCCAGTCTCTGCCGCCCTTCATGGACATCCTCCTGCTGCTGCTCTTCTTCATGATCATCTTCGCCATCCTCGGTGAGTCCCTGCACCCCAGGGCCCAGGCGCACTTGAGAGCCAGATCATAGTCGAAGAAAGTCGCTTTGACGGTGTCTTAGTCCCTTCGGGTCACTGTAGCAAAAGACCGTAGACGGAGTGGCTTATCCACAGCAGAATTCATTTCTCACAGGCTGGGAAGAACCAGGCGCCGGCCGCAGGTGTCTGCTGAAGGCCTATTTCCTGGCTCATATATACCTTCTTGCTGTGGCCTCACATGGTGGAGGAGCAAGGTGGCTCTCTGGGGCCCCTTTTAGAGGGCACTCATCCTGTTCCGGAGGCTTCCACCCTCGTGACCTAATCACCTCCAAAAAGCCCCACCTCCTCATACCCTCGCCTTGGGGGTGAGGATTTCAACTTAGGAATTTTGGGGGGACACAAACATTCAGACCATAACAGACACTTTTAGAAATTTGGAAAGTTTTTTAAAATAATAGAAACGCTCATGGACCCACCACCCAACTTAGGAAATGAAGTATTAGGAACCAGATAGAAGCCCCCTTGGTATCCTGTTGCGATCTCGACTCTGTTTCCCCAATGGCACCTCCGCCCTAAGCTGGTCATTCCTACTCATGTCTTTGTATTGTATTTTTACTCACATTTCAGTATGCAACAAATAAATGGTATTGCTTTGCATATTTAAACAATTTCTATAAATGGTTGCATAATGTGTGTGTCCTATTGTGTGTATGTGGTTTTTGTTGTTGTTGTTGTTGTTTTTTGAGTTGGGGTCTTGCTCTTGCTCAGGCTGGAGAACAGTGACATGATCACTGCTCACCACAACTTTGACCTGAGTTCAGGAGATCCTCCCTCCTTAGCCTCCCAAGTAGCTGGGACTACAGATGCATGCTACCATGCCCAACTAATTTTTTATTTTGTATAGAGACGAGGTCTTGCTATGCTGCCCAGGCTGGTCTTGAACACCCGGACTCAAGTGGTTCTCCCACCTTGGCCTCCCAAAGCACTGGGATTATAAGCGTGAGCACCGCTCTGGTGTTTCTGAAGTTTATTCATGTTGACATGTGTAGATGTAGTCTATTCCTTTCCACTGGAGGCAGTGACTATGCATAGCTTGTTGATCTGCTCTTCTGTTGGTTGCTTTTTTATTGCACACCCTCCGCAGTGAATATTCTCGTGTGTTTTTTGATGCATGCACCTGAGAATTTCTGGATAGCCCTTGCCTGGGCTGTGGGGTCAGCCCACTTCAGCTTCAGGGTCCAGGCTTCCTCACTCTGACGTGGATGAGCCTGTGAGCTCAGCCCAGACTGAGAGGAGGGGCTGGGAAAGAGGCTGGAAGGACAGGTGTGTCCTCTGAGAGACAGAGGCGGGGATGTAGCCCAGCGGGTGACCTTCCACAATGCAGTTTCCCAGATGTAATGATGCCATCCTACTCCTGGAACCCCTCGTCCTGCATCTCCTTCAAGGCTGATCGAGTGACAGTCACATCCACCCACAGGACTTAGACAGCAGACATCCCGGTGCTCGGCTAGGGAAGCTGAGGTCCTTTCTCTGGGACTCCTTGGACAGCGAGGACAGTGGACTTGGAGAGCCCTGCCTCTAAGGCCAGTGCTAGTACTGACCCCGCCCACTCTCGGGACTGCCCCGTCCTAAGCCAGGCTTTCATTCCTCCTTTCTGCCACCCCTCCTGGGAGAGGTTCGTTTGTGCTTCTCTAGGGAAACTTAATTCCCCTGAGGGTGGAGTTTTTCCCTTTTCCCACTCAGGATTTCAAGGACTCAGAGGAACACCCCATTCCAGGACAGAGGAAATGAATGATGTTCCACCCCAGGAGCTTGGTTGGGATGGAACAACAAGACCCCTTTGGGATTTCACTTAGCAGTCATGTTCTCAAGACCTACAGTTGCAAGCCAGCAGTCTAGATTGCAGATCTAGCCTCGAATAGGTTTCGTTTGGTCTGAAAACTTTGAGCCAGCATTTTCAAACTAGATTTCATTAAAAAATACAGATTACCAGTCTTTTAAAAGAACAGACCTGACAGGGCTTGGTATGGTAGCTCACACCTATAACTCCCAGTGCTTTGGAAGGCCAAGATAGGATCACTTGAGGGCAAGGTGTTTGAGACCAGCCTGGGCAACATAGCAAGATCCCATCTCTACCAAAAATAAAAAGGTTAACCAGGCATGGTAGTACATGCCTGTGGTCCCAGCTACTTGGGAGGCTGAGATGGGAGGATCTCCTGAGCCCAGGAGTTAGAGGCTGCAGTGAGCTAAGCTGCACCACTGTATTCCAGCCTGAGTGACGGAATAAGGCTGTGTCAGAGGGTTAAAAAAAACACAGACCTGACAGTGCTCGGGTGCATGCCTCTGGCAGCCAGGGTCTGCTGGTTCCTGCAACACCTGTTCTCTTTCAACAGAGCTCATGTTCTCCGAGGTGCTACAGTCCTCACCATTCCCTGCTGCTCTTTCTTGTCACGGTGCCCAGTCCTTTTGACACCCAGGGTTGGGACCTCTGCTCTAATCCTTTTTTTGGTCTGTTTTTCCACCACCTTCTAGGTTTCTACTTGTTCTCCCCTAATCCTTCAGACCCTGTAAGTAATTGGCAAGTTTATCTGTCCCTTCTCTTACGTGAGGCCTTTCCCCTCAGACAGGGTGGTGGGATTGACCCTGGAGCCCTATTGGGAAGGGGTTGGAACACTGGAACATTGGGACATTCTGGCAGAGGAGCCGTGGAGGAGCGCCGACTAATTCCCACCCATGGGCCTCCCTAGGAAAAAGTGTGGTGTTCTGGAAGGGGAGGCCTCTGGACTCTGAGTTTGTTGATCCTCTGCCTCCCGAGGGATTCCTGGGGAGGAATGGGAGAGGGGTGCCCCATCGCAGCCTGCTCCTGGTGGCCGTGTGCTCTCGGCCTGGCGCCGACGTGTTCCTGACTCAGTTTCCCTTACAGTACTTCAGCACCCTGGAGAACAGCATCGTCAGTCTGTTTGTCCTTCTGACCACAGCCAAGTAAGTGTGGGCTCCGCCTCACCCCCTGCTGCTGCCCAGGGCCTCCTCTCTTCAGCACAGGCAGGATGGGCCTGTGAGCTCGGCCCAGACTGAGAGGAGGGGTCAGGGAGGAGGCTGGGAGGGCAGGTATGTCCTCTGAGAGACAGAGATATACGGACACGGCCCCGTGGGTGACCCTCCGCAATGCAGTTTCCCAGATGTGATGATGCCGTCCTACTCCCGGAACCCCTGGTCCTGTGTCTTCTTCATCGTGTACCTCTCCATCGAGCTGTACTTCATCATGAACCTGGTGAGTGGCCATGCCTCGGGCTCTATGGAACAGCCTGCCCTGGCCACACAGCCTGGACGCCATGGGCGTAGGGCATGGGCACTATCATAGGCCTCCCAGGGCAGACGTTGGGGCAGGAAGACCCAGACTTGCAGTCAGGTGTGGTGTCTTGAGGAATGCAGTCAGGACTTAAGGGGTTCAGCTGGTACCCGTGCAGCAAGATGTCTCACTAGGTTAGCGCTGCGGGCTGCTGACAGTGCTAGACTTTCCACCCAGGCTATCCTGAGCCTTCTCAGTCTTATGGCAGCATGTACATTTGTCCCGCACAGGGGATTGGCTCCAGGCCCCACCCCCTCCCAGATAGAGAATCCTCAGGTGTTTAAGTCCCTTGTGTAAAGTGGCCTAGTAGCCACACACATCCTGCCATATACTTTAAATCACCTCTACCCCTTTGCACCCGGAGATGTCTCGTGAATCACTCACCAACAACTCAACCATACTTTTTTACAGAATAGTGAAAAGCGAATCACTTCATATTAAATAGTATAGTGTTGGAACCAATTATTTTATTGTAATGATATTTGGCTTATAATGAAATTTTGGACATTAAGGAGCTTATTTATGACAAATCAAAAATTTATGTCTTATATTTTTCTAACAGGTGGTAATGTGTGAAACAGTTACCAACATGCATTGCAGGTTCACTGACACATGTTGTACAACAGTAACTTGCTTGACATCTTCTACCTGGTGTTTCTCTGTTCAAGCAGACAATGCAGTCTATTCTCTTCCTCCCACATTAATAATATGTAATTTATTGTCTGGTCTGTTGTTCAAAGACAATGTGGAAGGACGCACTTGTGATTTCTGAAAACCACTTCTCAACTGATTGGTCAGAAGATTGACAAATTTCAAATGGGACACAGATTTTTCTTTTTTTTTAATGCATGGTACGATATATAGGAGTTAATAATGCATTTTTATAGTCCTCGGAAGAATTATTTCCTCCACTATTCTAAAGATCTTCACACAAAAAAAACTCCAATATGTAGAAGCACATTGATCCTCATGATCTACACCACTCATATTTGCAATATAATTTAGAGTCATTCAGGCTTTTTGACTGATATAATATTTCCACCGTATCATATCTTTGTGGTAGACTTCATTCCTGCATGATTCCAAGTGCTGAGAGTTGTAACAATCCTTTTGTCCTTCCACGCAAGAAATGCAAGATTATTTTTCCTATATGCTACTATATTTTTTATTAAAACCTTTGATTTTTTTTTAACTTGTACTGGTATTCCCTTTTGGTTGATTTTGTACCAGTAAGATGACATTTTATGCTTAGTAGCTCTTCTGCTAAGACAATACTAGTGTAACATCTGTCAGTAAACGTGGTATCCTGCTGCACTGGTTACTTTTTCCAACAACTTTTTATATAAATGTAATGGAATTCTGGTGCTTACTGGAGGATCAGGTTGAAAGTGATTGTTACGCTGTCATAATAAGAAAGTATTGAAAAAAGATACCCTGTCTTTGAATCAGCTAGCACATAAATGTGTATACCCCACTTGGTAGGCTTATTTGGATTTTATGTTATAAATGATATTTGCCCTTTATTTTATTTTATTTTATTTTTATTTTTTATTTTTTTGAGTTAGAGTCTCACTCTGTCGCCCAGACTGGAGTGCAGTAGCTGCTCCCAGACACCGCAGCCTCGACCTGCTGGGCTCCGGCGATCCTTTCGCCTCAGCCTTCCGAGTAGCCGGAATTACAGGCATGCACTACCACGCCTGGCTGATTTTTAAATTTATTGTAGAGATGAGGTCTCGCTGCCCAGGCGGGTCTCGAACCTGCGGGCTCAGGCAATCCACTCATCTCAGCCTCCCAAAGGCGTGGGATTACAAACTGAGCCACCGAGCCCGGCTGGATATTCGCCCTCTAAATTGAACAACAGAGTCGTTAACAAAATTTGCCTGATCTGGTATTAAATATTATAAAAATTTCGAATTGATATATTCCAAATAATTATTGGCTTTTTGAATATGAGTTCTGATCATCCCATTACTTGACACAGGTGTCTTCAAATGAAACATCCAGAATATTTGCATAAGTCTTTCTCTACTGAATGTTTCAGAAGAATATTTTAATATTGAAAGCAGTTGACCAGTACTTTTGCAAATTTGCAAATCTGGAAATTGAATATTTCCATGTTTAGGATAACTGCAATGAAAACTCAAAATTCCTGTTAGTCAGCATCATGCCACTTATGCCAAATAGATTTGTGTGATTTTCCTCATTTTTTCATCTGCATAATTATTTGTTTATTTTATTACACTATCCACTTGTTAATTTGTAAAATACAGGGTAAAATACTCAGTTGGTTCTCTTATATTACTTGCTGCTTGTGGTTCTGTTGTTTGAGGATATATAACATTTATTCTCGCCGGGGATCATCTTTTTCTGTAACATCTTCCCATTCTTCCCTTGGCAATATGTCATCTTCTACTTCTTCGAAAGTACTAACGCTTTTATCATGATTGTTTTCTATTACATTCACCCATTTTTTTCTTGGTGGGATGACATCACTGTTGCAACTATCGTTTTTTTCCACATTAATGCTGATTTTTTCTAACTCATCTGTATAAAAGTCTCAGTGTAACTCATCTTTGCTGCTGCTTATAACTCTCACTTTTGTCTTTTCCTTTTGCTGTTATTCTGCAAACCAAATAAGTAGATGAAGATTTCTAATTGTAAATTATGAAATCACAAGATGATATTTATCAAAATGTTACTTTTCTAATTTTACTTTTCTGATTTAGCGCAAATAGATATTTTCAATCTGTGCCACTTGAAACTTCAGACGATCTGCCTTGAACTTCAAAAGTATCTTTCTTTTAAGGCTACAGTAACCTGCTTATCTGTTTTTTCAAGTTATGCCATATGATACACAGGGGATACCCACAGCTGCCTTTCTTATACAAATGCTCTTTATTGGCTACCTTCTGTTAAAAAGAACTGTCAGCACCCCTGTGAAAGCACTTCACGCATTCTCTTTCTACTTGATGCCTGCTGATTTTTTTTTCACGTATATCTCAGCATATATTCCATCTCTTTATTTGCTTTTTCATGCAATTTGAATGGAAAACTTAAAGGAAACATACATTCTTGAAAAATTTGCACTTACATAAAATTGTCCTCTATAATCACCAGTAATCTCTTTATGTCCCCTGAGAGGGGACAGCAGAGTGGTTTGCTAGTTTTATTATGTCCCCTCAGAGGGGACACACAGGTGCAAAGAACTGGATTACTTATAACATCCAATACAACGTAAATTAAGTATAAATAGCTGTGTTGTTTAGGGACTAGTGACAAGAAAAAAGGTCTGTACATGTTCAGTACAGATGCAACCATCCATTTTTTTCTCAGATATTTTCCATCTGTGCGTGGTTGAACCCACAGATGCGGGACCCATGGATAAGGAGGGCCGACTATTATTAACTATAAAAGCTGGAATTCAGTAAGCCTTAGCTAGGCATCATGGATCATATGAGGATGAGTGATTTAACACCCAATCCTGAAGGTTCTGTTATGATTATCATTCTCAATGTAAAGATGAAGAAACTGAGAGTTGGAGTGATACAGTGATTTGCCCATGGCTGCACAGCGTGGAGTAGCCAAGCTGATTCCAGAGCCCTGCCCCTAATCACTCTGTCCTATTTGGACACATGTGGTAGCAACCCATTTATCAGGAAATTCAACATAGAACACTTTCTGTAAAGGAGAATGTAAAGCCTCTGTGCACAAGGGACTTTGGAAATATTTGTGGAGGCTTGACTGGACACCAGGAATATCCCTGCCATCAGCAGATCATGTCCGACACTGTGTTGTCTGGCCAGTGCCAGGACCACACATCATTGCCAGAGTTATCAGAGAGAGGACTTTGATCAATTCTTGTGTTTATTTTTGTACTTCTGAAGAGCATTCTTACACCAGTGATCATAGTCAGGCCCAGTATAGAAATGGAAAACATTTTTTCTGGGTAGACTTGTGAGACCTCCTAAAAACTTAAGGTCTTAAAAGGAAAATATTTCTTTTTTTTTTTAATTCCTCAAGACTAAAAGTAAATTTGTTGGATACCTCCATATTTGCTTTAATTTTTGGCATGTTTAGAGCTGTGAAAATCTAGGGCAGGGTCAGCCAACCATGGCCTGCTGCCCAAATTTGGCCCCCAGCCTGTGTTTGTAAATAAAGTTTTATTGGGACACATTCAGGGTCATTTGTTTATGTATGGTATGTGGCTGATTTCATGATACAGCCACAGAGTTGAGCAGTTACAACAGAGACCATCTGGCTTTCAGAATCTAAAATATTTGCTGCCTAGCCCTCCATAGAAAATGTTTGCTGACCTTTGAGCTATGTGGAAAAAATGGAGGATGACCAATCACTTTGAAGGGCTGGAAAGGACCAGAGTTTCCCTCAAAACATTTTTAAAAGACAAAGAAAGTGTTTCTAGAAAGGATTTTTTCACAGTGTTCCCCGCCTTCCCCATTCCTTCTGATAACGCAGACCGTGTCACTAGGAAGTTCACTCTGGGATTAGGTGCTCCAAAATGCTATTTCCTTGTATGCAGGCCTCCCCGGTCCCTTATTTCTGGGTCCACATGGGAAGCTGTGACTCATGAAGAAAAATAACAAGGGGCAGCGGAGGAAGCGGAGACACAAAGCTGACCTTCCTGTTCCGAGGTGGGAAGGACAGTGGGCAGCGGCCCAGCCAGAGCTGGGTTGGGCTTAGACCCAGGCACCCTCTTCCTCCTTTCTTCTCTTCTGGGGAAGTTGAATGCCTTCATGTATCTGGAGAGAGAAATTCTCAAGCGACAGCAAATGGCCTTCCTCTGTTGAGACCTGGAGAACGGTCTCCCCCAGCCCCCTCTGGGATGGCTGGCTGCAAGCCCTGGCTGAAGGCAGGGGATGGAGCCCCCCAACTGCTAGGGACCCTGCCGTGCAGGGAGCCAGGGCTCTGTGCTTTTCTCTCACAGCTTCTAGCCGTGGTATTCGACACCTTCAACGACATTGAGAAACGCAAGTTCAAGTCCTTGCTACTACACAAGCGAACCGCCATCCAGCACGCCTACCGCCTGCTTGTCAGCCAGCAGGTAGGAGGGGTGGGTGTCGGGCTGGGGCGAGCACTGGTCCTTGTCCTCCCTCCCTTTATCAGAGCAGCCCCAAGCATGGCAGGACCCGCGACTCTAGAAACCAGCAACTCTGCCCTTGGGAGAAGGAGCAGGCACCCTGGGACTGGGAGTGTTGGGCTCCGGGTCTGCCTGTGTTCCACGTTGCCTCCCCTCTCCCCCAGAGGCCTGCCGGCATCTCCTACAGGCACTTTGAAGGCCTGATGCGCTTCTACAAGCCCCGGATGAGCGCTAGGGAGCGCTATCTTACTTTTAAGGCCCTGAACCAGAACAGTACTCCCCTGCTCAGGTAAGAGCAGATGCCAGTGGTGTGGGGTGGCCAGACAGGGCAGGCTGGTGAGGGAGTCAGGCGTGCGAAGGCACCAGGAGGCTGTCAGGTGCAAAGACTTGTCGGAGTTTCCCTTTTCTTCATGGAATTACATATGCATGTAGACGTGAAGACTATGTCAGGATTCCTTCTGTAAGTGACAGAAGTCCAACGTAAGTCCAATTTGAGCTGACTTGATAGCTAAGGAGTGTACTGGCTTGTGAGGTGGACCAGCCCAGCTGCTGACGCTCAAGCCCGAGTGGGGTGGGATAGTCCCATGTGAGCCAAGTGGACAGACAGAGGTGGATATTCCCCTCTCATACACAACCGGCTCGCCTCAGAGAACTGGCCCTGAGATCTCCCTGGGCAATCTTGGTCTACTGGGCTGTTGATGACAAAACCCTGTCCCCAGCAACCTGCTGTACAGCTGATGAGCTCCGCTTGGGCTGAGCTCAGTTCACTTGTTCTGCGAAGTCTCACTGAAACAGGCAAATTCTGTCTAAGAACATAGGACCCCAGGTGCCTCTCTAGGGGATGGAAACTGTGCAGACCAAGTGGGATTACACAGTCACAGTGCCTCGAGGACAGAGGAAATCCAAAGGGCCCTGGGCACTGCTGTGCTGGGACTCGAAACTCCCGTTCCAACCCCACCCCACCCTGGAAGGGTGACTGTAGTAGGCAGGTGAGCAAGTAAACCCAAGCTTGGTAGAAATGTGTTCTGAGGGTTTTTTGTTTTGTTTTGGTTTGTTTTTTTGCCTTTTCATTCTGCTCGTATCAGCCTTAAGGACTTTTATGATATCTACGAGGTTGCTGCCTTGAAGTGGAAGGTGAGTGCATGTGTGAGGCTGGAGAGGAAGCGGGCGGGGGGGTCCCCTGGTGGGGTGATGGGGACCGGGGGCCCAAGCTCTAGCTCTCTCCCTGCCAGAGCAGTTCAGCCTTCAGTGTGGCACTGTGTACGCCAGGGATGATGGGTGGTCCCTGGCCCCCCAATCTTCCCTTACATTTGTGACATAGTGTTGTGGTTAGCAGCACTGAATCTCAGTGAGACCTCATTAGTCTCTGGGTGACGTCAGGCAAGTTCTCAGACCTTTCCAAGTCTTGTCTCACCTGCAAAATGGGGTCGCGATAGTCCCTACCGACAGAGTTATTTTCAGGACTATGTTGAAGTAATGCCTGAGCATGGCGCATTGGGAATGCTCGGTAGACTTTGACTATCTCTGTCATCGTTGAGATTCCCAAGTGCTAACATTGTTCCCAGTTTAGCAGGGCGAGCAGGGAGGGAAAGCCAGTCTTGACCCCAGGCTGGGTTCCAGTCACTGACCCTCCCACCCTCTCTCCCATGGTCCTGTTGCCATAATAGGCAAAGAGAAACAGAGAGCACTGGTTTGATGAGCTTCCCAGGACAGCATTCCTCATCTTCAAAGGTAAAGTTGACTCGAATTTGGCATCCTGGCAGCTGGCACAGATGGAGGTTTCCAGTAATCACAGACAAGCATTTGAGGAGAGTATGTCCAGAGGGATGTGTGTGTGTGTGTGTGTGTGTGTGTGTGTGTGTAAAGGAGACATAAGAGGCTGGACGCAGACTAGGAAAGAAATCAATAACTTAACCAAACCAAGACATTTTATGGATTTCTCTTTCCTTATAAAAAACCAAAGATACTCATTGAAGAAACTTTAGAACATCAGATAATGAGAAGAAAATGAAAACTTACCACCCAGAGAAACCACTGTTAATTCTCTGACGTATTTCCCTCTGTTAGTTATTTTTCTGGCATTTTAAAAATAATTAGTATTGCCGGGCTCAGTGGCTTAGCCTGTAATCCTGCGCCTTTGGGAGGCTGAGGTGAATGGATTGCCTGAGCCCGCGGGTTCGAGACCTGCCTGGGCAACTTGGTGAGACCTCATCTCTACAGTAAATCAAAAATCAGCCGGGCGTGGTAGTGCGCACCTATAATTCCGGCTACTCGGAAGGCTGAGGCGGAAGGATCGCCGGAGCCCAGCAGGCCGAGGCTGCAGTGGCTCGGAGCAGCCACTGCACTCTAGTCTGGGTGACAGAGTGAGACTCCAACTCAAAAAAACAAAACAAAACAAAACAAAAATGAGGATTACATTATACTTTCTGTAACTTGTCTTTTCATCCAGTAATGTATTTTTACCCTCTGCTTATGGCAGGGCATATAGCTCGTTTGCATAACCCCTTGCATAGTGCTTGTATGGTATGAAATTTAAATCTTTATAATCAGGGGCCCATGTTATAGACCTAACAGTTGCCACTTGGCTTAATGCCTGTTTTAGCAGTGGTCAGCAGAGCTTTGTCTTGGCTCTTGGCTCTGGGTTGCCCAGGCACTCCCCAGAGCAGCTGGTGTTGGTGCAGTCTTGCCTGGGGGTCTGAGTAGAAGTGTGGGTGTCACTCATAGAGCAGCCCCTCCTTTTGTCACCCCCGGACATAAAATACTCTGACTGCCTTCATGCATGAAGAATGTGGTAGGGAACGTGTATGGAAATTTTTATTTTAACATATCTTCTCTTCAAACAGGCATTAATATCCTTGTGAAGTCCAAGACCTTCCAGTATTTCATGTGTAAGTGTGAAATATCACAGCTCTACGCCCCTTTCCTACTGAGTCTTTTGCTGTTCTAGAATTTGAAGAGGCAAGAGATTAGTCCTGGAGCCATGTCTTGGACTTTTATCTTCATCTGTGGATTCTTCTTCTATCCCTTGCAATATTTAATTGAAGAAACAGGATTGTCTGTCCTGTAGTCTTGGTTTTGCATGTTCCTCTCTTGCTTGTTTTTTGTAATTTGGCAGTTATATCTAGAGCTGTGTTTTCCAGTGTGGTAGCCACTGGCCACTTGTGGCTATTTGCATCTCAGCTAATAAGAGTGAAAAATTCAGTTTCCCAGTCACGTTTCAAGTGCTCAGTAGCCACAAAGGCTAATGACTACCAACTGGACCAGTGCAGATAAGAAAACTCCCATTATTACAGAAGGTTCTCTTAGGTAGTACTAATCTAGAAAATCAGATTCAGCCTTTTCAAGGAGCTCTAGTTCCTCTTGGTAGGGATTAGTGTTAGAAACCATAATCCAAGGTGTTGGGTGCTCATTGCTTGGGGTTGGTTATTGTTTCTAGGTCTTTCCATGGACAGAGCTAAGATTTTTTTTTTTTAAAGGTAAACTGTATTGCGTGTTCATGCTGATACTTTACATTTAGGACTACAGGGTATTTACCTAACTTCATCAGTCTTAAATAGATTCCCAATCTTAAAATCCAGATTCCCAATCTTAATATCCAGTACCAAAAAAGGGGGGAAAAAGAAGTTCAAGTTCCCGACAACTAACAAGTTACTCACTTGCTTTATCCCACAGTCCCTCAATAGCTATCTTAACAATCCCAACAATTCAATTATTAAAAACATCACTTCAGGGATATACTCTCAGATTACTATGTCTTAAACTCTCCTGAATAATTCCTTCCCATGTGGGGATGTCACCTATTGGAGACACATTTGGATTTCTTTATTGTCAGTCGTTTTTAACTTTTAGGGATTGTTTATTACATTTTAATTTTATTTTATAATTATGTAAAATATTTACAGGGTTCCAAGTCAGACCTGCAAAACAAAGTATATTCAAGAAAGTTTAGTTTATATCCCTGTCACGTCATCCAATGGGTAACTTTTATTGTTTGTCCTTTCATTTTTTAAAGACAGCAGGAAAGCCAGGTGTGGTGGCTCACACCTGTGATCCCAGCACTTTGGGAGGCCAAGGCAGGAGGATCACTTAAGCCCAGGAGTTCAAGACCACCTTAGGCAACATAGAGCCCATCTCTACAAATAATAATAATAATAATAATAATAAGCTGAGTATGGTGGCATGAGCCTGTAGTTCTGGTAAAGAGCTAATGCATATGCAATTTGGCTGAATAGTTTATGCAGTTATTTTAAAAGTAGACGTCTCTGGGGAAAATCAAATGTGTTCAATACTTGACCAACTTGGAATAGTCTGTACATCTTAACTGGTATCCCTACGTGACACAGAGGGTGTTTTAGAAATTCAGAGCCATTTCTAAGTGAAGCCACAGGTTGATTTAGCTCCAATGGTAAGAGCACTGAGCCGAAAGAAATTTTCTATCAAATGAGTGTTAGCGCAGCCCTGTCCTCCCATCTCCCGGAGCTTCTAGAGGGAACCAGGGACTGCAGTGTTGGCCTGTAGACTCCCCAGCCCACCTGTCCTTTCTGTGCCTTTTATGGGCCTGTCTGTTTCAGACTTGGTGGTGGCAGTCAACGGGGTCTGGATCCTTGTGGAGACGTTTATGCTGAAAGGTGAGCCCTGCTCGGGGACTGGCCATGTCCTGGTGGGCACACCTGGCTTGCCCTTGAGCTGCTGCTTCTCTGTCTCACAGGTGGGAACTTCTTCTCCAAGCACGTGCCCTGGAGTTATCTCGTCTTTCTCACTAGTAAGTTGCCAACACAGCTTTGCTCAACTGCTTGTTTTAATACTGCATAGGAGAACTTCTGTTTGGTTTACAGTTTCATGGCTCTTCTCTAACACAGGGAGCCATAAAGAGATGGAGCAAAAATTTAGTCTCACCCCTGCTTTTTGTTTTGAGTTGGGTCTTACTCTGTTGCCCAGGCTGGAGTGCAGTGGCACAATCATGGCTCACACCAGCTTTGAATTCCTGGGCTCCAGTGATCTCCCTGCCTCAGCCTCTTGAGTAGCTGACACTACAGGTGCACTCCACTGCACCCAGTTTTTTACTTTTTGTAGAGATGTGGTCTCGCTGTATTGCCCAGGCTGGTCTTGAGCTCCTGGGCCCAAGCGATCCTCTCGCCCCAGCCTCCCAAAGGGCTGGGATTACAAGTGTGAGTCACCGCACCCGACCTTGGCCCCTGTTAAAGCTCTCGTAGTTGTCTGCTGCCTCTGAATCACCCTAGATCCTGGCGGTGACTCCATCGGGTATGGCCCTCAGTCACCTCTTCAGCCTGTCTCTTCCCGCCCTCACCCAGCCTTCAACCTGCCTAGACAGCCCTCTGCTTCCTTTGCCCGGCTCGTTTCCTCTGCCTGGCTCTCTTCCCCTCACCCTCCTCTGCCTGACTTTCCTTGTCTGAGTTCCTTCAAGCCTGAATACCCTGAACACATTGTCCTTCCCTTCACTTGCCTTTCCTCCTGTGGGGACAATGAACTCTGTGTGCCCAGGGCTGCCCGCACTGTCCACTGTTGCTTGCCTGGTGCCTGCGTAATGCCTGGCACAGAAAGGGTGCTTGGAACACATATGTTAGATGGACAGACGGGTGGCTGGGCCCTGCTCGGGAGGGGAGGAAGGATGTCTCTTCTTGAGCAAGTCACCCAGTTGGCCGCCATGTGTCCAGGCTGTCACAGAGGCATGCTTTTGTGGTGGGTGTGGGAGGCCTGGGCTTAGCCTGGAGGGTGAACTGCAGGGAGGCTGTGGGCTGCAGAAGAGCCTTAGAGAGGAGCCCCGGCCAGCAGGGCGGGGTGTGGCGAGGCATGGGGAAGGGCATGGTAAGTGACTGCCCATGGCCTTCTTCTGTCTGCAGTCTACGGGGTGGAGCTCTTCCTGAAAGTGGCCGGCCTGGGCCCCGTGGAATACCTGTCCTCTGGATGGAACCTGTAAGTGGGGCACGTCCCGCTGACTGGGGCTGAGACTGAGGGCACCAGGGTCCTCTTGCTGCCCTTCTGGAGATGCAGGGCAAGGTCTGAGGACAGGCCAAGTCCTCTGTCCCCCTGGAGCAGCCCTGCCACGGCTCAGGGACTCCCCAGGTTCAGGCCTTTGTCTGAAGTCTCTCTGGCTACCACGCCAGTCCTCCTGGAAATGGCCTTTTGTTCCCTGGGCTGTTGGCTCTTCCTGAACCATTAGGCTTTTTCCTTTTCCATAAAACCCACAATACCCCAGAAGAGAAGCTTCTACCATCTCCCTTGAAAGCAGTGCCCAGATCCACGTGGCCCTTATCCCTGTTCCAGAGCTCAGGAGGTCACTTGCTTGCCCTGTTGAAGTTAACTGACCTGTGAAATCAGGCTATATTCACGAGGTCCTGGGTCGTGAGAGCAAAACAACCACCAGAGAAGAGTTGGGTCACGCTTCTGAATGGCAAAAATCAGAGCAAGGGCTACTAAGGATTTCTGGCCGCCTGAAATTCTCATATCCATGAACTGTAAATTTAAACCTAAATATTTGGTCATTATTAATAGTTTTCAGGCTTAAAGCATACACAGTCCTTTTATATTCCTGTCTTTGTATTTTATAAGATACTCTGTAATGTTACATTTCTACTTATAGTTTAAGAATTTTATTTCCTGCACAACTTTTTAAAAAGTGTCCTGCTCCTGTTTTAAATCTGTTGAAATCTGCTAAATATCCTTTCCTGTTATTTTATCAGTTATACTGCCTCTTTTTTTTTTATAGCTTCGATTAAATAATTGGATTTATGACCAAAAAAAGAGTTGGGAGGAGCAAAGGGCACATGTACCTTGTGTCTCTGTGGAGTGAGGTCCTTGTGACTTGAGACAGGGTTAGCTCTTCTCCCATCGGGATTGTCACTGGGGTGGTGGTGGGGGGTCACACCTTATTCCCTCAGAGAGTTCCTGGGGCTGGATGAGACCAGATGTCTGAGCTGAAGACAAGGCCTGTTTGCGGGGCTGCAGAGGCCGGGGCTCTTGGTTATGAGACCAGCCCAGGGCCCTTGGAGGGGGTTCCTGGGTATTGAGAGTGCTGAGACCTGACCCTGAGACGTGTGCTGTGGCAGGGCCTGGCCACTTCAGCCTCAGAAACCCCCAGAATGCCGAGAGCTCCTCCTGAGGCTGGTGTTGCTGTGGGCTGTGCTGCAGCTGGTGTCCTGGCTCTCTGGAAGGTGGCCATGCAGGGCTGGGAAGGGAGCAGTTGGGGAAGGCACAGGGCCTCCGGGTGGACCAACCTCCTTCTCGCAGGTTCGACTTCTCTGTCACGGTGTTTGCCTTCCTGGGACTGTTGGCTCTGGCCCTCAACATGGAGCCCTTCTACTTCATAGTGGTCCTGCGTCCCCTCCAGTTGCTGAGGTGACAGAGGGAGCTGGGGCCGGGAGAGAGGGGTAGGGGAGGGCGGGGAGTGACCCGGAACAAGCCAGAAGCCCCCCAAGCTGGTGTCACAGATGTCACGTGTCTGTGGAAGCACCACGGTTCACTGTGCTCACCTGGGGGGTCCTGCGGGCTATGCCGCTTCCTCACTTTCTGACACCAGGCACCTCTCCTGGGTGGGGAGGCCCGGCCCTCTGCTCGTGTGAACTCCACCCAGGAGTTCTGCTAGGCCATAGAAGCCCTTGTGCACAGATACACCAGAGCCAGGCTCTGAGGGTGGGAAGGGCCTTTCCTGGGTCCCTTGTGTTTTGCTGGTTCAGCATTTCTGGGAGAAAAACCCTCACGCAGGTCCCATGACTTCCCAGGGACACTAGGAAGTCCCCGTAGAGACACTGTCTATTCCTCCTGGGGTCCTGGGTGCCTGTGTCTGTGGGGTCTGGGTTCTCCTCTCGCCCCCTGCTGCGGGCCTGCCTCCGTCCCTCATCCCTCACCCTGTCCTCTTCTCCCTGGGGGAGATGGGAAGGTGCGGGGACAGCAGCGACTCCATGGCACGTGGAGGTGCCTGGACTGGGCCCAGTGCCACTCCCTCCTGCTCGCTGCCACCCTTCTTCACTGACGAGTGACGCCCGCCTCCCCTGTGGGCTCTGTCCTCTTCCTGCCCCTCTGAGCCTCTGCTCCATCTGTGACCTGGTGGGTGGTCACTGTTCCCTCTCCAACCGGGTGAGATCTGTGGGCGACAGTGGGGCTCTGCTCCTCATGGACAGGTCCTGTCCAGCCCCCATGTCCTGGACATTCCACCGTCCCTCACCCTATGTGTGAGTCACCCGAGCCATGTGCTGGGCTGGCAGCTCCCGGGGAAATAGACTCAGGAGAGGCCTCTCTGCTTGCTTCACCCACAGGGTGTGGATGTGGCTTGGGGACCCAAGGCCGCACCCTTGCGTCTGTGGGTGACTGGCGTTCTTCCATTGCTCAGGTTGTTTAAGCTGAAAAAGCGTTACCGCAACGTGCTGGACACCATGTTTGAGCTGCTGCCCCGGATGGCCAGGTACTGCCCTGCCTCTCAGCCTGCAGGTCCAGGCATCGTGAGGCCACGCCTCGTGGGGCGGGGAGCTGAGTGGTAGTCAGGGGAAAGGAGTCCCAGAAAGGGCTGGACTCAAGGAGCCTGAAATCTTGACCAGTGGTCTCCCTGGCACCATTTTCTCCACTGACCTGTGTGAAAGAGTAGTTGAGAGGGCAGGGAGCTCTCAACTCACCACCTGTGTCTGCATTCACAGGTAAGGGGTCACCTGTGTCTACCTTCACAGGTAAGGGTTGACTCTGGTGAAGGGGCATCTGTTCATAGAGTCCTGAGCCGAGCCCTGCAGCACGAGGTCCGCTGCCAGCAGGCATCGTCCACTTGGCAGAGCCGGTGGGGGCGAACCCTGCAGTCAGCTCTGTGGGGCTGAGACAGCCGGGGCTATGGGGGAGCCATCCTCCTGCGCGGCCCCGAGTCACCTGTGCTTTCGACCCTTCCCAGCCTGGGCCTCACCCTGCTCATCTTCTACTACTCCTTTGCCATCGCGGGCATGGAGTTCTTCTGTGGAATCCTCTACCCCAACTGCTGCAAGTGAGTAGGAGGTGGGCCCCGCCCCATCCCAGGCAGCCCTGCCCTGCCAGGTAGCCTGCGTCTCCGGGGGGACCAGAGCCAGTTCAGGTGCCCTACGGCCCCAGGGTCCTCAGGGATGCACCTCTCCCAGCACAACTTTGCTTTGCTTGGCTTAGCTGAGTGCAGTGAGCTCTGCGAGGGGTCTGGGCTGGGTTGTTTTGAAGGAAGAGTGTCCTCAAGGGGTCGGGGCTGAGTCATCTCTAAAGGGACAGTGACTGAGCAGTTTTCCCACCCCAGGTAGGATCTAGGAGCCATCAGCCTTTGTGCAGAGGACTGGAGGCTGCCCGGAACCAGTATAGCTGGGCCTGAGGCCTGCGTCCCGTGGCTTCCTCCCATTTCCCTCTGTAAGTTACTGGGAGCTGGTCCAAGACTGGTCCCCTGGGGCAGCCTTTCAGGATAAGACAGACAGACATAGGGCTCAGGGAGAGACAGGAAGCAAGACTTCCCGGGAAAGAGTGGTCCCCTCTCCTCCCTCCTCCTAAGCCGCCCAGTGAAGGCAGTGCACTCTGCCATTTGTTCTCAGTCCACAGTGTTCTCTGCACAGATTGTTTCCCATGGTCTCGATAAAGACACAACTTTCCAGAGGCACTGGCAGCCAGCTGGGTGTCAAGCTGAGCCTGAAACCAGAAACCTCCAGCATGGCGGCTGCCTTAGGACACGTCGGAGCCACCAGGAGCTCCTGTCATGCCGGCTCTGGGCCTTGCCCGCGTCTGGAGCTGTGGCCTGGCAAGGGGCTCTGCCTTCAGCAGGCTCTCTGGTGGCCCAAGCACTAGACTCTTAGAAACACTGGCATGGATCTAGCAGCTGTGAGGGATTGGAAGGAAGGTGGCCAACAAGATCTCCTCAAAACAGGGCGACTTTCAGACACGGGATGCACTCAGCCATGACCGTACTCCGGGCAGGCCCAGGGCAGGCCCGTGCCTCTTTCCCTCCTCAGCCCTCAGCGAGGGACCGCCAGGCGGCAGTGGGGGAGCCCCTCGAGGAGCAAGGAGCACAGCCGAAGTGGACAGGCTGGACAGGAGGCTGGGTTCCCACGGCTTGCTTATGCTCTGTTCTCCGGAGGTGGCCGACCGCCTGGTGACCCTCCCTTCTCCCTCCTCTGTCTTCCTGGCCAGTACGAGTACCGTGGCAGATGCCTACCGCTGGCTCAATCACACCATGGGCAACAAGACTGTCGTGGAGGAAGGCTACTACTATCTCAATAACTTTGACAACATCCTCAACAGCTTCGGTGAGTGGAAGAACCATGAGGGACACCTCCTGGGCACGCTGCCTTGGTCACTGCGGGTCCCTGGGGTGGCGTGGCAAAGCTGTCTGAGCCTCTCCCTCCCGAGCTGCTGGCTTTCTGGAGGCCAGACAAAAGGTGTGGTCTGTCCGGCCTTAGTGAGTGAATCCAGTCCAGACCCCAGGGCCCACTCAGCCACCAGGGCCCACTCTTTTTCCTGATTCTTTTTCAGTAGCAGGGAGCAGAGCTTCATGCCTTGGCTGGGAGGGGTCTGGCCCAGTGCTAGGGCAGCACCCCCTCCTCACAGCGCGGCTTGCGGGGGATCCCAGGCCGCCATGGCGCTGCTCCTCCCTGCTGGGTCCCTGGAGAGGCCTGGCGGGGGAGGAGAGGGTAGTGCTGAAGAAAGTCTCTGCGAAACATAGGCAGGGGCCCTTGTGACATCCCAGACTTGCACCCAGTGAGGCCTGGGTGCTTTTCCCCTAGACCCCACCCCAACCTGGGTCAGTACTCCTGCTGGGCAGAGGGGGTGCCCTCTTGGGGGCAGGCCGCAATGGCGGAAATCCCTGTGGTACAGGCATCAGGGAGGACCATGGCCGATCTCTCCTGGAGCCCGCAGCCCGAGTGGGCTGCGGTGACGCCCTCGTTTTAGTGCACAGCACCCAGGATAGGCAGAGAGGCCACTTGACACTGACGCTGAAGAAGGGACTTGGTGGAGACGCTTCTCTTTCTCCTTCCCTTGGCAGTGACCTTGTTCGAGCTCACGGTTGTCAACAACTGGTACATCATCATGGTGAGAGCTCCCTCAGCTGCTGGGTGTTTTTCCACCACCCTCGGAGACCGCTGCAAGTCTCCCTTCCCTGCTGTGGGGTGACTGCTCTTCTCATGGCCTGCAGGGCTGCGGTCAAGTCACGCTGGGCTGGTGTTCTCAGAGGGTCTGTGGCTGGACCCAGGAGCCCTCCTCCCAGCGTTTGCTGGGCTTGGCCTTCATCCTCATCTCCCTGCCTGTGCCCCAGCATCCATGAGGTGCCACGTAGCTTTTGGGTCTCTGTCTTGTCTCCTACCACTTTTTAGTTAAGAAACAGGCTGAGTGTGGTGACTCACTCCTACAATCCCAGTGCTTTGGGAGGCCAAGGCAGAGAATCACTTGAGCCCAGGAATTTGAGACCACCTGGGCAACAGAGTGAGACCTCCTCTCTATAAAAATTAGCTGGGCACAGTGGCATGTACCTACAGTCCTGTCCCAACCGCTTGGAAGGCTGTGGCAGAAAAATCTCGCGTTCAGGAGAAGAAACTGTGTGACAAGCATTGATGATATTTTTTCCATTCCTTAAACTCTCCCATGTCCCATCCTACTTGGGATAAAGACTGAACGTGCTGGTCCTGAATCCAGCCATCCAGGACTCCCACAGCAGAAATGAATCATTCACACCAGGGCGTGGGGTCCCCTCCTCCGTTTCTTACCAAAGGACCTCGGGGGGGCTCTATGCAGAGCCAGTGATGCCTGGCTCTGGGCTGGGGCCATGGAGCCTCCTGGGCAGATGGGGACCTGGCCCTGCCCAGGCACTGGGTTACTGGCCGCTTCCCTCGGTCTCCAGGAAGGCGTCACCTCCCAGACCTCCCACTGGAGCCGTCTCTACTTCATGACCTTTTACATCGTGACCATGGTAGGTCCCAGGCCGCTCTCGGTCCCTGTCTTCGCCTCGTCAGCTGCCCCTGCTCATTGGGCTGCGCCACGGGGGAAGGGGCCACCTCCCA